ATCCCCACCTTCCCCCACCCCCATTCTTGATTTTCTTTCCTCTCCTCTGTTATTGTACAATGTACTTGTTTGTCTTGTAGGCCAAATAAATTGTAATAATAAACAGCACTCATGTGCTTCTCTGACTGGTATCTTGTCTTAGCTTGTTTCAGACAAAACTTATGAATAGTTGAAAAACAAAATGTTCACCCATAGCAGCAACTCCATGATGAATGCTTCAAGAGTTAGACTCTAAATCACATGTTGACGTTAGCATTTTTTTTTTTTTTTTTGGGAACAGGAGAAAGACAGCAGCTCATACAGACAAGCGAGTTGGCGTTATGACTGAGATCATTGATGCTATGAGAGTCATTAAGATGTATGCTTGGGAAAACCCATTCAGCGATCTGATACAGAAAATCAGAAAGTGAGTATAACAACAGAATGCATCTCCCTGATTTTTTTTGTTCAAAATTGATGAAATATGAATTGGGAAATAGACATTATTTAAAGTTCAGATGATGTTTACTGAATGTAAAACTACTGTTTTCAATGCTAGTAAAATTAATACTAGGTACCAGAAATTCACAGTAAACATTACTCTAGTGCTTTCCAAAGGTGTAAGCCCATTGAGCTTAAACTTCTGTGATTTCAGCCTTAACACATTTCTTTTGATTCATAATACACTGATTGATATTGAAATACATATATTTAGTAAAGAAATCAGTAACATCCCATTCAAGCAAAATATTGGAAACTATCCAAATGTCTTCTCCAGGGCAGAGATCCGTAAGATCATCCAGGCTTCCTACCCAATGGGCATCAATATGGTTCTCTCAATCTACGGCAACCGTCTCCTGGATGTCTGCATGATTGTTACCTATGCCCTCACCGCTCCTAGGATATACGTCTCCACGGTGTTTGTCGTGGTGTCATATTGTGCTACCATGCGAAGCTCGTTCTTCAGGTTTTTTCTGAGGGCAGTGCAGTTGCGATCGGAGTGCCTGGTGTCCGTCAAGAGAATTCAGGTATGAAGCAGAAGTGGTTCTTTGAATACATCATTTTTCCCCAGAATTCAGAGGAGTGAATTTCTTGATTATATTTGAGAAGCTCTTTGCAAAGCAGTAAACAACATAATGTCTAAATGGCATGATTTCTTGACAGAAATTTTTGCTCTTGAATGAGATCTCCCCACCATCAGTTGGACCCTCGGATCAACATCATGACAACCCAGGAATTCACGTTCAAGACTTGATGGGTTCCTGGGATGATGTGAGTAATTTCTAATTCTTTAAATTTGTCTTGGTGGTCCTAAAATGTGTCACTTTAATTTAAAAAAAAAAGTCATTTTCTTCGTGTCTAACATGCCCAAAATGATACTCAAGAAGCAAAAAAACTTAGTCTGCTTATTGCAAATACATATGTTCACAGATCAGAATTTTAAAAATTGAGTATTTTGGGCTGGAATTGAAACATCACTTGAAAATCTTTTTGTCCTGATTTTTCTTTGAAAGCATGTTAGTGCCACCTTTTTCAGTCAGTTTTCAGTCATGTAACTTTCCCCCGATCAGGTGATTTTCTTGTTTTTTTTACTTTACACTCATGATGCCATTGAAAATTGAAAGCACTGTACAAAGTCTTTTAAAGATAGGAATTTTTTTCTCACGGTCCAAGTTGTATGCCTGTGTTTTATTTTCAAGAGTAGCTACAAACTATTTTATCAGTTATTTTAATGCAGTGTTACCAAAAATATCTAAATAATTTTTATAAGATATTTCAGTTTTGATAATACAATCCTGGAGATGAAAGGTCATGGATTGATTTTTGTTATACCAATGAATGAAAATTTTATCCATACGATTATCATTGTTACTAAATCAATGAAACTGTTCAAAGAATTTCAGGAGCAGGTACATTTCAATTAATAGCCCTCAGTGAGGAAAGATATGGCCCCCCTCAAGTCTGAGAAAATTGTCCGTTAACATTCCTCAGTTGAGCCACAACCACCGATTAGAATTGAAAAGAGCGTTTCAGAGTTCAGTTTACACAGTAAGGTTGTATATGTAATTATGTGACGTTGGTGATGCAGGTTTTTCCAAGGGGAATTCCCTTTGACGTCATATCCTGGTTTAGAGTTACTCAGGTCAAGAGTTGGCCACAGGGGACTTTAGCCTGCCTTTCATGGTACCACTGGTATGTTGACTTAGGGTTGAATCACAAAGACTTTTTTCCAAGCATTGAGAAAGGAGTGCAGGGGTTAACAAAAGAAAGAAAAGAGACCGCCTTGAAGCTAGATCCGGATTTTTGTTTTTTCGTAGTAAACGTATGGTCACCAGGATTTAGATGAAAATGCATGTCCGGGCAAAATTGAATCATGCGCATTTGACCTTTTTAAACAGTGACCACACAGGTTCTGAATGAATCAATAACCAGGATATACTGTACTCAAGATAAAAAAGTTTAGATCCTGAAGTGGAGAGTCATTGTCTGAACAGTTAGATAACTATCATTTGGTTTGATTGCGACCAAAATTGCTGAAAGATTGAAGGACATCAAATATTCACAAAGGTTATTTGTGGAATGTGCTTTATTTAAGGGAGAATAAAAGGTATTTACCAAAAAAAAAAAAAAAAACCAGTTTAGAGCAGTTGTCAATGTCAGCTGGGGGTTTGGAAAGCTTGAATGGTCTTGAAATGTGAGGCAAGACATTGAAAAAATTAAAAAACACTCAATGAGATTTTTTAATCAAAGTTCATTTTTGAGGTTGTGAATGCAGAAAAAGTGAAGTTTGACAGTTAAAGTATCTTTCTTTAAAATGTGTAACAAGTAAACCCACAAATAATTGAGCAAAATAGGATTTTTAAAGATTATGATTTCTTTTTTTTCCATTTAGTTGATTGTGCAACCACTAATCACAAAACCCGACTTGAATTTTCCCCTCTGGAACCAAAAACATTAGGCTTTGACAAAAGAGAGCTTTTGAAGTTGTATGTACATGTACAAGGGAACAGAATTTAAAAAAAAATCCAATGAATGGGTTGGTCCTTCTAAAGTGACAAAAGCAATTTTCCAGGTCCAAACTGTGTGCCTTATTTCAATTGTAAGTCAACTGTTTGTATTTTCCACGCAATGGGATGTTTCTGAAGTGTCTGTGTATGGTCTAACTTTTCTGAATCAAGCAAAGTATGTCAAGTTTTAAAGGATTCAAGTCCAGAAAGTCCAGTGACTATTATACTTACTTGACCTGGCCCCACCTGGTTGCCTTGTATGAAGCCTTGTTGACTTTCCAACAATTTACCACAGACTTTCAAGTAGGGGTGTTGCAATAAGGGTTTCGAAATAACTTCTTTTTCAAACATCCTAGTACTTTTGTAAGGATGGACTGGTGCGTGCACAGAAATAACAGGAAATAGAGTTTATATACTGGATCCTGAGGTATTTCCTTTTCGTATCAGCACATTGTGAAGGGATATTGTTGCATTACGAGGTTCTTTTGTAATAATGGAAGATCTGAACCCCCAAAAAATTAGGATTGTAAAGAAAGGGTATGAAAGTTACATGGCGTTAAAAATCGGAAAGTCTAACAATAATGCACAGGATGATTTTTGAAGTTACTATTTTGTATGTGATAAACATGATAATTACTAGAGATCATGTGATCAAATTTGTTCTCTTCCTTGCAGAATTTAGACAATCCGTCACTGAGTAACGTCAATTTTGAGGTTTCTGAGGGTGAGCTGTTGGCTGTGGTTGGCCCAGTGGGATCTGGCAAGGTCAGTCTTAATTATGCAGCGGTACTCTTTATTATTCATGAATGGTCATAAATATTCATGTTCAAGAAGGGACCCTTCCAGCCTGTGAGTCAAACTCTGGACATTGACCAAATGGAGGATGCCTTTGGGTCAGGTGACCATTAAACAGTCATTGGCCATTCGGTTCAATCAAACTCGGTTGCATTCTTTACAAACGCCCTACCCCAAGCAGTGGGCCAGATGTAGTCACACATTGATTCCAAAAACAGTCGTGACTGCTCTGCACTTTTTTTAACAGAATGGTAAAGTAATGCTGTGATGGGATATTTACCAAGAGGAAAAATAGTCTCATTGTTATAGAAATGGGGGAAAAGTCATAAGTTCAAGGCCCAGCTTCGCCCATCCCAGGGTAGGCCAAAAAAAACAGACTGCGGTTTCTGGTCATGGGCTGAGTCCAAAAGTGGTGCAGTGACACGGTTTTTTTCCCCTTTTTTATCCTTAGAAGTGACGTACATGCACATATACTTTAGAGCGTATGGCCTTGTCACTATGAGAAGAGTGTGAATTGACAACTTTGAATTAATAAAAAGACCATAAAATATGACGAGAGACAATGGTTTTAGTCATCTCACTCAAGCAAGAGGCTTCTATTCTTGGCAAAATTGAGCTTGTTAAAATACAGTAGCACAATCACAATGGAAAAATTAAATGTGAAAAATAAATGTCCAGTTCCAGTTTCTGGTTTTAAATGAAATTCTCATAAGGTAGCAGTATATGACATTCTTTGCACATTGTTTTCTGCTTTAGCTTAGAGGAAACAAGTTGCATGTCAAATATGAAAAAAAAAATTAAAACAGTTCAGCTCCAGAGTCAAAATGAAAATAACATTCTCAAGAGGTAAATGATGTACCGTGCACATCGTTGCCTGTTTTAGTTTTTAAGAAACAAGTTGCATATAAACTATTGGGGAAATAATTCATTACAGAAAATAAAATCTCCTCTCACTCTAATCTACCTGTGTTTTTTGCAAGTGACGATGCATGAGTTGTAACATGTATGGTTGTCATAACGCGATGTCCTGCGTCACTGCATACCATTGTACGACCACTGCCTCACTGTCACTGAAATAGACTGGCCCCTCACAGTTTGTTGCTTAAAAGCATTTTCAATTTGTAGGCCTATATGTAAGCAGGAAGTAAGACCACTTCGTTTGTCTGGTTCACAGACATGGGCCCGGGTCAGAATCAATTGGCTTCGGCTGGAAATTACTAGTACACAGAGTATTTGGCAGCATCTACGGCCAGTTGCCATAGAATCACGCATGTGTAATATCAAGCTGCAGCCAACTGATTCGGACACGGCCTGAGTGTAAAGATACACGAATGACGTCATCTGATAATAGTGTCCGACTGAAATGTATGGAGGCCTGGGGGATTCCTTCACTGTACCTATTACTCAACCCCACCCATCAAAGACCCATTAAAAATATGCGGTAGCAGAATTTCTGCCAATAAAGTAAGTTAGGCAGCTTTTGGAAATCGTTTTATGCAACATAAAAAACTTCTTTTTGCCGACTCCCAGGTCTACAGCGACACAGAGACTTTTTTTGCCTTATTGAGATTAAATATGTAAGCTAGTGTAACTTCAATACATAAATTATTGATTTTTGATTTCAGGATTAAGGGAATTTATTTTTATTGTACTGAACCATTAATTCTGAAAAGCAGGAATGTATTTGCCCATCCAAATTGGTGATAAAAACTGCCGGGAAAAAGTTACATTTTATTGATTTGACGTATCAAGACCCAATCAGTGATAAGAAGTGTACAGAGAGAGGTATGGATTACCTGGGAAAGTTGTCCAGACTGATCACTGTTTCAATTCTAATAGATTTCTTTTCCTCAAAACTATATACTTGGATTTTCAGTTGCACTCAGCCACATGGTCATGATCATTGTGTAGGTTTACTGAGCCAGACGCACATTCTTGCTTGTTGTTTTCACTTCTCGCCAACAAAGCACATTGAGAGGTTTTTTTAAATTGAACACCACCTTTGCATGGTCACTTTTGTAGAAACAGGCTGTCCATCTCCTGTTTGTCTTAGGCTTTGCCATGTTCAAGCCCCTCACAGATTGTTTTTGGATTTTTAGATCCACTGGGTTTGTGCCATAGCTGTGGCATGCTTGGACAGAAAAAGTGGTATGGTACTTCGCTTCTTCAGACCTAGATATAGAACAGGAGGGCAATTGTGTGGGAGCCCCGACAGCCTGTGGAGTGATCAGTAGGGGTGATGCATGTGTTGATGTACTGATCCAAACTTAATCTTGTTTGTTCAAGTTAGCAGGTTAGGATGGACCTTGCAGATATGGACAACTAAGATTTAGCTTAGATAAGTACATCAGCACACCCCCCCCCTTTGTTGGAAACATAATCAAAAGAAGAATCCATGGGGGGGGATTGAATAGCAACTTTCTAAAAACAAAGTTTCTAGCAGTATACATCATCAGCTACAATATACAAGTAACATGATCACTTGTGTATACAAACTTTATCAAGGGAATCAAAGATTCACAGAATTGAAGTCATAAGTGTCTAATTGAGTTCATGGCATGGAAGTTTTAAAGAGTCCAGAATTATGGTCTGTCCTGGTGCATCCTAACCATCTGATGAGGTTTGAAGAGTGTGGAAATTATGTAATATACACGTATCAGTATATATGCAAATAATCATCTCAACAATTCAGAAAATATCCAAGTCCATCTAAATCTGACTGACTGATTTATTTCCAAATCACATGCATTTTATTTGGGAGTAAATATCAACTGAACACAGCTCACGGCGGCCATACTTTAAAAAGCTAACTACATGTAACTAGGTACCTCTATTTCTGAATTACTACCTACATTTCATTAATTAATACAATTTTCCTTGTTGCACAAGTCTTACAGAAAACGGTTATTTGGAATTTAGTAGCATCCATAGGACTGAGGCTTCTGAACCATTCCATCTAGTGTTACAACCGTGTTTGTGGGAGTAGTGCTTTGCACTTGCACGTGTTGTTATGTCAGCATAATCATCGTAATCTGACGAGTATGCATTTAGTCCTGCACGGGGTTCTCGCTAGGAATTTTTTAGTGTCAGCTGTTTTTGACAGTTTTTAAACACTAAAATAGCCCATTTTCTTTCTCAGTGCTAAAAAATTGCAATAATATAATATACATTGTAATTTGTGCTGGCCGCAAGCTTCATTTTCTTCCCCAGTGCCAGCTGGTAATGTTAAGTGGTGACTAGTTGTATGATAGAAATTATTTGTTAACATTTCTATGTTAATTTGTAAGTAATTGTATTCAAAAGTAAAATCCCCTGATTGGTTTTTATTGTCATCATTATGGATTAGGTTTATGTATTTGTCCATATTGAATTAATGAATATTATTTTAAATAAACGAAAACACAAAGAAAAAAAGGGAAATATCTCTTTCATCATGAGGACAGCAATGTTTGGCTTGTGCTACTTCCTTGTTTGTATTGTGTGCATGTGTTTATGAATGTCAGTCAGGCCTCCTCGTGACTTGAGGTTAGCTTCCGTTCTTTTCTACTTATATCCATAACCAGCTGTATGTGCTGTCTACTGCTGTAATATCAATCCATTCAAAGTACACATTCAGGGAATAGGGTGTATCAGTTTTCTATTCTTCTATGGCATTTTGCTTGCACTGCCAACTGGCTGTCCTTTAAAACTTCGGAAGCGACTTTTATATATATCCGTTCAGTATTGTAACCCTGTATTTTACTGAATTGTTCCTTTCAAAAGGAAGTGAAATCTACCACCTTAGTTGGCAGGAAATCAATTCTTCTGAAAGTCGTCATTGTTACATGCACTCCTGCACATAAACACGTACATCAACATATACGTTAACGTTCACTTAACTTTGACCCTGATGTTTGCCGAGCTAATGGTGTGGTTATGCCAGAAGATCATTACCAGTCCAACTACCCACAAGATATCAAAGTTGGACAAAACATTCTTAAGAAAACTTGTTCCTTCACATGTATTTTAATCCTAGATTTGTAGATTTGAATGTCAATTTCCAGCTATTCTTTGAACCTGTTACACTTTCATGTCTCACAGTCGAGCCTTCTCATGGCTCTCCTGAAAGAACTACCCACAGTCTCTGGCAATGTGAATATAGATGGCCGGCTGGCCTATGCTAGCCAGGAACCCTGGAACTTCAGTGGCACCATCCGGCAGAATATCACCTTTGGCAAGGAATTTAAACAGAGGAAATACGACCGAATCATAGAAGTCTGCGCTCTGACTAAGGTGAGGCTCGGGATAGCGTGGAGACCCTTTTCAATTTTATTCGAAGTTGTGATTTTGATTTGAGAATTAAGAATTACTTGGTTGGATAAATTGTGGTGTGCATGTCTTATATCTTGCAGACCCTGGTTCAAAGCTTATTGGGTGAATCTAGGGGATATGGACAGGTGTTGCTTAGACTTTTTCTTATGGTGAACTGGCTGAATTTATCTTGAATGTAAATTGTAACAAAACAGGTACTGATGCGGGCAGGAATAGCAAAGTGACCCCTTTTTGTTTAGAGAACCTAGATGGCCTGAAGTATGCCTTATGGGCATGATGAGCAAGGGTAATAATTACCCATTACCTTGAGTATTATGTAAAAATATGACTTATCGCTGTCATTCTGTTCAAAGTGATACATGGTATTCATATTTTTGTAATAGGACATCAAAGATTTCCCAAATGGTGACCTGACTATCATTGGGGAGCGAGGTGTGACCCTCAGTGGAGGTCAGAAGGCAAGGGTCAATTTGGCCCGAGCCTTGTACGATGATGCTGATGTCTATCTGCTTGATGATCCATTGAGTGCTGTAGACAGTGAAGTGGGACGCCACATCTTTGACAAGTAAGTTAATTAAACCAAGTTTGAACAAGCATTTTTACACTAAGCTAAAGTTGTGTTCCTAAGGTATTTTCAACAGCTGTCAATAGGCCATCACTACTCGGACCATCCTACTCGGACCATCACTACTCGAACCATCACTTCTCGGACCATCACTACTCGGACCATCACTACTCGGACCATCACTACTCGGACCATTGGAGTTCCATTTTGGCATACCTGTTTTTCACCTTTTTTATACAGTCTTTAAATTTCAGTTTACCAGATGTTCAGTTGTCGACTTTGATCGGGGATATAAGATTTTCGGAAATGGCATGAAAAGTTACCATTTTCCGGAAATGAAAAAATGTTCGTTTTGCACTTTATGCATACAGGATCCATGCCGGCACACGCAGACGGCCTGCATTTCGATGTTCACAAACACGGCAGATCACGCATTAGTGCATGCACAGCCTATGCTATACTCGCCGGCCTGCGCATGCCCAGGCTACGCCTTTATACACTAATCACATGTATCATCCCAAGGGCGTACTGTTATTGGAGTAGGAAAGAGGTTGGTGCAACTTTCGACCTCTCCATGGTTTGTTGGTTCCCGTTGTGATCCCATCATTGGTAATGGAGTTGCGAATTTGATACCGCCGGGAACCGCTGATTAATCGCGTGTCAATGCATGTGTTGTGCGAATGATCATGTGTGAAGTTTTGTGACAAGTGACTGCATGTTTGGATAGAAATTTTTGATCAGCATGGAAGTTGACCGGAAAGCAGATATCAAAGATATTGACAAAGGAATCACGAAAAAATTCATGTGGACATGGCTCAAGGAAAAGGACCATGATGGATATTTTGTGCCGGACTACGTGCGCAAGCTTAATAACAGTGGCCAAGCCAAATGCATCACCTGCAAGTTGCCGCTACGTGATTATTTTGTGAAGCGGGAAGAAGGGGATTATTGGACTCGTTAACTCCGAAAACCACCAGCGTGGGAGGCACAGAGATTCAAACCAAACATTACCAAGTATGTTCAAGTTCCAGCTAGAAAGGGAAAAAGGAACTATTGCCATGACTGCATCATGTAATGTGCCCAATGGAGCCCCTCCATGACATGTCACATCTTCATTAGTGTTTGATTTTATGTCAAATAGGTATCTTAAGCTGTTCATTTTTATCTGTTAAAACCGTTAATACTTAAGGGCGTCTGGACCCCTGTCATTAGTTTTTCGGTCACGCAAGCCCTCCCTCACAGTCTAACACAATTTATTGGCTTTCAGCGACTTTCAGGAAATGACTTCGTTGGTACATCCCTGTTTGGAACACAAATAGGGGAGTCGGGTTGGCAAGGTACCAGTAGTTCTTTCCTCGCCTTCCACCTCTGTGGTCCCAGGTTCGATTCCTAGCCCGGTCCATAAGTGGATTGGGTTTTCACTCCCTACCTGACTCGGTGGGTTTTACCCAGACTGTTCCTCTGGGGTTTTCCTTCCACTTCTAAAACTGTAACTGCTTCTTACTGTCTCCCCTTTATTGATGTTGGTGAATGTGGGTCGTTTGGCAGCTGCCTGAGGCGCCCTTGTATGCCATCGGCTCAACCATGTTTAAATGTATTCGTTATTCCACACTTAATGTCTTCATTGTACGGCGCATTTGAACATACTATATGAAATTTGCGCTTAATAAATTATTATAAATTATTATTATTACATGTATTCACAGCTTCTGTTTGTATACTGTTGTTTGCCGGCATAATAGGCTCTTGTGTGCAGTCCTCTTCACCACAGTTGGGTTACTGTACAATTTACGCACACGAAACAGTGAAATCACGTCTGTTCACCCAGCACTGCCGGTGTATAGAATTGTATGGGGCGGCACGGAATTTTGCTCCAAAGAGGCAGCAGTGGAGAGCCGTAGCCAGTGTTCGATACTTGTGCGTGCCGTAGTCTCACATGGAGACGCCGCACCGCGTGTTGCCAACATAGAGGACAATATAAACCGTTGAAAATATTTCTTGTAGGGTTTTTTAAGATATGCCTCACATATATTTGCAATGGACGTTGGTAATCACACATATGGTAAAGCCAAAAGTAGAAGACTTTTTAAAGTGATATTGAGCCATTTTATGCAACATCGTCTTCAGAAGTCAGTATTGATCCTTGAGGCAATGATTTGTTGTGACAGAATAAAAATCACAGCGAACCAGATTTTTCAGTTGGTGAGTCTGGCTTTAAAAAACTTTTGCAAGCTAACGACCATCAGGGTTGCCTTTAGTTCAACACTGGCGTCATATTTATGTTTCACATTCTTGTGAAAATCCTGGTTGCAAAAGTATCATGACTGTCGAGAGATGGGTTTGCGGGTACACCATGGAATCAATCTCTTTTGGACGAAGTGTGGTTCTTAAAAGAACCGCTGAGTATAAACTCGACGTTTCCGCCTCAGGAGAGGATGGCCAGAGCATACTGGCGGAAACGTCGAGTTTATACTCACCGGTTCTTTTAAGAACCACACCTCGTCCAAAAGAGATTGATTTCATGGTGTACCTGCAAACTCATTTCTCATGTTTCATCCACCATGCAAAGCTTCAAATCTTACTTATCATGATTGTTTTCACAGGAAAAGAGGAAATAAATGAATTTTCCCAGCTCAAAAAAGGCAACTGTGTATTTGATTACATAAGACCATTGAATAACAAAATATTTCCATCAGACATCTCGTTTCCATCACAAAAGCTCACTGGCAGTCAGTGTACCACCCTGAACAATCATCAAAACCAAGATGAGAAGGAAGTATGTGAGGCATAATGGTTGGACAGCACAGTAATCATACCTCGTAGTTAGTTAAGTGTACAATGTGACACAGATTTGTATCTTTATGTTACCATATCGACTGGCCCAAAGAGTGATTCAGTAAAGGAGGCTTAATTAATTTCCTAATGTGGTCAATCCCACACTATCTGCCTTTTTTTCCCATTATTTCTTCAGATGTGTCATGGAATACCTTGCCAACAAACCCCGGATTCTCGTCACCCATCAACTTCAGTTCCTAAGCACTGCTGACAAGATCCTTGTTCTGAAAGAGGTGGGTGTAGCTCTCTCTGGTTATTAAACAGATTCCCCGAACTTCCATTGAGTCTAAAAGATACACCACTCACTGTTGATGCTTGCAACATCAAGGCTACTTTCTATTGAATACTTGTTGAGTTCAAGTACTTTGCTACCCAAGTACAAGTACCATCGCTTGAGTTCAAGTACTTTGCTACCCCAGTACAAGTACCATCAGTTGAGTTCAAGTACTTTTTCTACCCGA